TCAGGGCTGCCCCTCGCACCTGCCCGCCGTCCCTGAAGCGTGAGGTGACCGCTCCCGCGCTGCCGCCGTGCCCCTTCCCCGCCTCCCTTCACAGGGCTCGTCCTCGCCGCGGAGGCGGGAAAGCGGCAGCCCCGGCTGTCCCCTCAGTCGCGGAGCTTTCCAGACCAGCCCGGTGCTCAAGGCTTGAGTGTCTTGCAGATACAGTCTTCTGAGGTGGATTTTTTTTCACAGATGGGAAGCAAAACAAACAAAAGTCACACTCTGGGGGAAAGTTTCTCTTATTTTAAACAGTAATGTTGTATTTCAGTTCAGGAGCTCTTAGGTATACCTATTAGATAGAGTAGGAGCCGGCTTCCGGCAATTTTCTTCAGAAAGATTCTCTGGGAGTTGAAATAAATTGTTCATTCTGAGCGTGGAAATGAAGTTGGTAACAGTGTCGTCCATTCTTTAGTAATTTTTAATGCATCGACTCCTGATTTTCCAGCTTACTGCACAGCATCTGTTTCTGACTGAATAGGTGTGTTATCAGTGTTGCAGCCCTGTTGGAGGAGGATGAGAGACAGGTGACACTCCTTTTCCTTGCCTCTTTTATTGCCCCTTGCTCTAACTCCTTGTCCTATCGGGTATGAATGCCATTGCTGTTATTTTTAGATAGGAAGGAGGATGACGATGTTTGGAGGATGTTAAAGGCGCGTAGCTGCAGGCAAGTTGAAAACTGCTTTGGGTATAATATTCACTATGGAGCACAGTGTCCACCCTGAGCCAGCGCGTGGTAGGTCTGTGGTGCACAAGGATCTCAACAAGTGCCTCTGTGAGAAATCAGTGCTTTTTAATTGAGATGTTGCGGAAGGCTTGCATGACCCTTGAGCAATTTGCATATGTTAAATGTAGGTAATAAGGTCAGGCAGAATTGTGGTTTCTGCTTATTGTATGCATGCACAAACACACATATATGTATATATATGCTACATATATACATGCTTACTACAACAGCTGGAGGTAAAGACATTTTATGGTCAAAATCCTAAGATAAAAGACTGATAAAAATCAGGGTTTATGATCTAATTATTGTATTTTGATTTTAAATTCTATTTCTAAGTATTATTTTAAGTCAATTCAGGATTGTGTGCTTATATTCCACATTTGAGGATTCTGGAGTCTTTAGGTAGTCTGGTAAGTGGTACCAACTTCATTTTAGTGGTGGGAAAACAGCTGTCATCTGAATGTATTTAATTGGGAGATGACTGTGTGCAGCTGCTGAGATAATTGTGTGCTCCATTCTCTTTAGTGTTATGATAATGCCATTAGATGACAAAACAGTCAATGGCCATAATTATGAAGTGTCTAACAGTTGTGCTTGAACAACGTAAAACACTTTCAGGAATAGGAGTTCCTTTTTTTTTTCTCTCTAAAAAGGAGTTTTAGGCAGCCATCTTTTATGATTTCTGACCTCTTTCAGGTGTCTCAATGTATAGAAGTGACAGTAAATTGTGTTCAATATCTTAACTAATCTTCTCTAAACCTTAACAGTGGGCCTAGGAGAATCCTGAAAAAAACCTGTTAGATTCCTTTATCTACCTAAGATTCTAGCCTGAATGTTAACTTTTTTTTTTTTTTGCAAGTATTAGCAGTGTGGATTAATCCTATCTGTGCAAGAATTAAGATTTTGTAGTTCTACTTTAGGAAAAAGATTGTAATATGTATGGGAAGTCATTGGCTGTCTCTCCCCCCAATACATGCTTATCCGTGGTGTAAGCATTAGTCCCAGCGTTTCCCCTCTTTCCAGAAGAGCTCTTCTGATGCGATGGTGAATGACAGCGGCAGTAAATATTCTCAAGTCTCCAACTAAGCATTGTGCAAATTCCTTCTCTTAGGACTCCAAGAGATGGAAGAGGTTATTAACACCCTCATATGTTTCTTGAAAGACAATCTACGAGTACCATGTGTGTATTTTTAGGCAGCCTCACTCTGATTTCCACCAGCAGAGGGAATTGAGTCTGTACTGTCCTCAGTACAGTCCCAGCTTCTCCTTATTTATGTGGTAGATAAGCCTGCACTTTTTATGCCCGTTAAAAAACATTTTAGGTTACTGATCTTTGGTCTATACCTCTCTGACTCTCTTGCTTTCTGAGCTCCCAAAGCAATTTCCTGGGATGCTTGCTTTCTGCTGCACCAATGAATGCTCTCTTTGAGTACAGCCCCTGCCAGCCAGATGCTGAGTATTCATAGATTAATAGTTGCTACAAAGCAGAAGTTTGTTACTAAAATCAACTAACAAGGTAGACAGTTTGTGTGATCCAGAGAAGCTGTTGTGTCTCAGTCTCTCTACTCTGGAGGCGGCATGGGACCTGATTTTTGCACTTGGTTTGCTAGCTTTTTTTCAAGCAGTTGGTTACAAGTCATGCAGAGCTGCAGAGCTAAAAAGGACTCAATTATAACACACACACACCCACACACACCCGTCACGCATGCACTTCTCTCCCACTGGAGGAAGTAACTTGATTATTTTGTTGTCAGCATGCAAACAGACATTCATAGAGAGCTAAGCTGGGTTTTACCTTGTGATCTGCAAAGACCCTGGTGGTTGTCTCTCCTGCCAAAATGAGCTTAAGAGACTGATGTCATTTGCCTGTTGCCTCTTTGTGACTCCCTCTGCTGGCTACCTCCTGCTTTATTCTGGGGGCTTTCAGCTGCCTGGGAGGTCTCGGTCGCTATCTTAAAAGTTCAGAGGGGAAGGAAAGGGAACAGGAGTGGTGTTAAATCAGGGCATAAAGTCCAAAGCTGAGTAGAGGGTCCTGGCCAAGATCTAGCCCAAAGATGGGAGCAACGAGCACTGCGGGCTTCTTCATTTTCTATTTATTGCACTGTTCTGTGTTGTGCGGAGTGTGTGGCTGTGTTCTTAATTATATGCTGAAATGATTAAATTTAGAAACAACTCCTGGAATAATCAATGTAACTTGTTCTGGACCTGTATCTCTGGCTGGTTGTTGAAACACTGTTTATCAAGTGATAAGAGCTACATCTACTACACACCCTTTTCCTGCTCAGGAATCTTAGTCAGTGGTATCTAGAATACTAATAGCTAAGAACTGATATTCAGAACTGATTTTCCTCAGTTTTATATTATAATGTTTAGAAAAGGCAAGTTGAACACCAAGCTTTAATCCACAGATTCTATGTTGGTATGTTTGTTTCATATTGTTTAGGTTGCTGTATGTTTTGGTGTGCAGCAAAGCCCCTTGTGTACCCCCGATCTAAACAGTGGAATCTGGTTATCTTGTACAGCAATAGAGGGTTGCTGTACTACATCAGGCCAATGACCTGTTTACTTCTAAATTGTTATTTCTTTCAAAAGGTGAGTGAAATACCTATTTTCCAAGATGCAAAATGTATATTCTTTCTTTCTTGTTGATGTTTTTAATCTTCCAGGATAATTGGAGATCACAGTCACTGATTAAATCAATTGAACTATGCACAGGTCTTTTCTAAGATTTGTCTTATTTGCTCGGACCAAAGAGCAGAAATATCTCAAGTGAGCAGAATAAGAAATGAATTATTGTACCTCATTTATACTAGATTTTTATAGGCTGTGGAAATAGTCTCTATGGGGAGAAGGAAAGGGGAATTCACTATTGATGTACCACTCAAAAAACCTGCCTAAAAGTACTAGTGGAGATGATAGAAACTTTCATTTCAGCTACGTGACTTGGTTTGTTGTTGTATTAAATTTCATTTAAATATATGAAGTGTATAAGTATACATACACTTAATTCTACCAGTGCAAGTAAATTGTGCTCAATAGCTGAAGACTTACATGGGTGGCTTCTGCAAACACAACTGGTGGTTGCTTGGAAACTTGGATTTTGCAAGGAAGAGCTTGCCCTGTTGTATGGCTGCATGTATGGTAAGGTCCTGCCAGAGCCACCAAATGCCCCTTGTCTGTCAGAGGTGAGGAAATGACTGAGTGCCACTGTTCTCAATGACCTTCAGAGCTAGGGCATCTTATCACACTTATCATAGTAGTACACCTTGAGATAGTGGCTTTGAGAGGTGAAATGTTCTGTGGCCTTAACGAATCAAGTTTTCAGGCTATGTGAAGAGAAGTGGAGGGACAAAAGAAGCTTAAATTCTGTCCTCATAGTGGCCTGCTGAAATCCTGAGACTCTGTCCCAGTGTTGGAAATGACTGTAAAGAATAAGTGAGGTCTTCAGATATTTTAAAAAATTATTTTAGATTTAAGTGCATGAGGGAAGAGCTTCTTCTCACCCTCTCTAAGTAATTTAAAGTATCTTAAAATGTGCCTGAAGAAACTTAAGTTGTGAGCTTTCTGGTGATTTCTCTTTTTCTCAGTATGGCAAATAATGACTTCTGGCAACCTACACTCCATGTTGACTCCCCATGTTCTTTGAAGTGTTGGCCATTACCAGAAAGAACAATTTGGAAACTGATGGACCATTGGTCTGTTCTGGTATGGCAGACTTTTTGTTGCCATGCAAGATAATCAGCTTCTATCTTATCTTTGCATGTGTGTACCTGGTTCAATTTACTTTGCTTTTGTATACGTTTGGTTTAATCAGCAATGATTGTCATTGAGTTTGTTCGAATCCGAAGATGTTTACATAAGCTTGGACTGGCCAGTGGTTGAGATTTGGGAGACTGGTCTCTTGAAACAGGCAAGCTCTCAGAAGCGTGGCTGTATGTGTATGCGTGCAAAGATAAGAAGCAAGGGTAGATAGAATATTCCAGATGCATGTGTATCACGACTTACAGTAATCAATTATTAAAGGCAATACAGTGTTTATATAGTGCTGTTTATATACAGTACTGTGAGGAAGAAGCATA